GGGTCAAACTCAGGTTGTCAGACTTGGTGGCACAAGTCTGTGCACAGTGAGCCATTGTGCAGGCCTGAGTTTATATTTTTTCCAGAATTTTTGTTTGTTTGATTTTTGTTTTGGAGACAGGGTTTCTCTATGTAGCCCTGACTGTCCTTGAAGTTGCTCTGAAGACCAGGCTGGTCTCGAACTCAGAGATCTGCCTGCCTCTGCCTCCCGAGTGCTGGAATTAACAGTGTGCACCACCACTGCCCAATTTACATTTTTATTAAATGAAAATATTCAAACTGGGTGTGGTGGCACATGCCTGTAATACCAGCACTTGAGAGATGGAGACAGTAGGAGCTGGAGTTCAGGGTCACCCTTTGCTACAAGGTGAGTTTGAGGCCTGAGGCCATCCTGAGTTGCATGAAACTGCCACAGTAAAATACAAATTAAAACTAAAGGTTCACACACAGACAAGCACAAGGAAACACAAACACGTATGCGTTTATCATGCATTAGCATATGTCTCAGTTTCTTATTTTACAACACGGAATAGTGATTAGGTTGTTGTGCTCAGTGGGACCTGCTTACCCAGCACCAGCGGCATACAGCCACTGTGCCATAAATATTAGCAATTGCTATAGACCATGTTTGTCCATGCTCACACGTGCTCTTTCTCCTCCAGGCCCTTCCTCTGGCCCAGCTCATTTGGAGATGTTGGTTCAGATGACAGTCTTGTCCAAAACCATTAGAAAGAAACAGCTGCTTCCCTGCACTTCCTGGGCTAACCTGGGCTAGCCTGTGTGATAGGAAGGCGCTTTGAATACCATCAGAAGCTTCCTGGAGGAGGCCTCCACCCAAGCCAGGTTAAGGGAGCCAGGTACAAGCAAGAGGGTGCTGCCCTGTGCCCTGTGCTTTGGCTCCCTCTTTACGGCACTTCTCCCCAACCTTTACTGCTGTACCCCCTCCCTTCCCCACAGTAGAAACTTTCCTCTACTCCTGCCAGAGTGTAAATTGCCCCCAGGAATGTGCTGCACCCCAGAGCTCCCCTAGCAGTGGCCAGCGGCTGTCCTGGGGTCAGGCCTGGCCCCACATCAAAGGCTCAGGAGCGGTAACAGCAGTAACAGCGTGTCTCCGCCTGCCGCCACCCTCCCCTCCCACTAGCATTGGCTTGCAAGGAACAGCACATGGTAGCACTTAAGCTCCAGGAGGACTGAGGATGCTTTCCCTACACCCCCACCTCCCACCAGCCACAATGAACTACTTGTTAGGAGACTATTTTAATTTTACTTAATGCGATTTCAGATCCTAAGGCCTCCGCTGCCGTCACTTCTTGGATCTGGATACCCTGCATAAATTTAAGGGAAGCCAACCTCCCAGGAGGTGTAACCTAAATATGAAGACTTCACTGAGGTGGGGTCTGGGGCAGGAAGAGGACTGTTACATCAGGGGCTGGGGCTGGGGCCCTGGACTCCCCTCAGGAAGTAAGGGGGACTGGTTAAGGGAGGGCTAGCTTGTACAATTCAGGAGGCCAGCCTGACTTTAGAGTGTGTGCTACCAGACAGCCTTGGCCAACAGATTCTTCCAATGTCTTGAGTTTAGCAGGCAGACAATTAGCCTAGTGGCCATGTGAGCTTTGCTGTTGGGTCACCTGGGGCTAACTAGAGGAGGGTACTCCAAGATCTAGGAAGCCGCTAAGATTTATTCCTCCACCAGGTGCATCTTTTTTTCTTTTCTGTTTTCTTTTTTTCTTTTTTTTTTTTTTTTTTTTCGAGACAGGGTTTCTCTGTGTAGCTTTGGAGCCTATCCTGGCACTCGCTCTGGAGACCAGGCTGGCCTCGAACTCACAGAGATCCGCCTGCCTCTGCCTCCCAAGTGCTGGGATTAAAGGCATACACTACCAACGCCCAGCCACCAGGTGCATCTTTTAACAAATTAAGAGAGAGAGAGAGAGAGAGAGATCCATCCAGTCACTTCCTGGAATAGTAAGGTAGTGATCTGGAGACCTCTGGTGGCTAAAGGCTGCAAAATGTGACTTGTCCAGAGCTCTGCCCAACCAGCCTGACCTAAAGGCTGTCCTTTAGCCCCAGAATTCAGTCTCAAGCTACGCTCCCCAGAACCCCTCCTGACTAGTCAACATTTCCCAAAAAGAGTCCTTCCACTGTGCCTCATCTTGCTGGAAGAGAGTGTATGGTACACCTGGGAGGGTGAGGAATGGCTGAGGGTGTCCAAACCACATTCCATTAACTACAGGTGTGTAGGGGGGGACGTTAGGCTGCTGGGGCAGCCCCTCTTTTTCCTCTAGTACTCCACTCAATTGTGGGGCCGTAGGTGGGGAAAACCACTAAGGGTGCCTTGTTTCCACAGCTTGCAACCCCATGATGTTTAAGTTGTTTCTGGGAAAGGAAATACTCAAAACCTCCTATTGAGATGGCTGCTGGGAAGCAGAGCGTGGCACATGGAGAGGAAGAAAGAGCCCCCATTCAAGGAAACAGGGTCCACGAACGCCACACAGAGCTTTCCCTGTGAGTCCCAAGTCACCTCCATATCCCTTTCATTTTCTTTCAAATCTGGTATGACCGGACCCAGCACTATGTACGCTGAATCCTAGCATTCCAGTCACCGCCAAAACGAAGTGCCCAGACTGCATCTGAGGGAAGAGAGCAAGAGGCCCCAAGGACGGGATCCTAGAGGCTAACCCTCCCTCTAGTTGGGAAATAAACATGACATCACTCCCCGGTGGCCCAACCCAGCTGTGAGGAGAGTCTTGTGCAAACCACCTCCTTGCTGAGGCCTCAGAGCCCTGATCCTGTCCTCAGAAACCAGCCATATCTCCAGCATGATGTACCTGTAACTGACTCTCTTCAGGCCTGTTAACTGAGGAAAGCCTCGAGTCCAGTTCCCCAGTAACCTCCCCAAGAACTATCCTGAGATAGCCTCTGCCTGAGGTCTGGAGAGATGGCTTAGTGGTTAAGACCATTACTCAATGGCTCTTCCAGAGGCTCATAATTCAATCCCCAGAACCCACAGTGTGGTTCACATGCAGAAAAAACACCTATACACATAAGTCAATTTTTAAAAAATAATTTATGAGAATTGGTGTGAGTGTCAGATTTCCTGGAACTTGAGTTAAAGATAGTTGTGTAACTATCTGTAGCAGGGAATTGAACCTGGGTCCTTTGGAAGAGTGGCCAGTGGTTTTAACTACTGAGTCCACATAAATCAATTTTTTTTTTTTTTTTGAGACAGGGTTTCTCTGTGTAGCTTTGGAGCCTATCCTGGCACTTGCTCTGGAGACCAGGCTGGCCTTGAACTCACAGAGATCCACCTGCTTCTGCCTCCCAAGTGCTGGGATTAAAGGCATACGCCACCAACGCCCGGCCATAAATCAATTTTTTTAAAACTAAAACAGCTGACAGTTTTATTTTCAGTTTTCACAATATAAGTGAGAGCTGCACTTTTTTTTATCCCACTTCTCCCCTCTAAAACTATTCTCTGTCCGGAAGGGGGAAGCCTTCCTTGCCATGCAGCTAGAAAACACTCAGGCCCAGCACCATAATCTCCTGGTGAAACAAAACAAGAAATACAAAACTATACAGAGCCTTTCTGCTCATGTATGTCTGGCCGAGTCATGCCAGGCCGAGTGGGCACCACCATAGGGCGGGCAGGAGGTCTCATCATTGGAGGCCCAGGCATCACGGGCGTGTGGCCACCGATGGGTGGCCTCATTCCAGGAGCAGGTCCCATGGGCATCATCCCAGGAGGGGGCCCATCATCAGCATCATGGGAGGGCCTCCCATGTGGGGTGCAGGCATCATGCCAGGGCGAGGAGGACCTGCGAGACTGGGGTGAGGTGGGGTCACGGCCCTGGCAGGAAGAGGAGCAGAGAATGAAGCCGGAGGTGTCTTTCCTTGTTGAAGTGCAGCCAATGTTTTGCCAGTCAGGCTCTGGGCCTGCTCTTCCATTTCTGGTAGTTGTCTTTCACATTCTCTGTGTTTCCGACTACTGTAGTGTGTCTTCCTCACAGATGCAGAATCATGGGTAAGATATGTTATCACAGTCGTCACAATAAAACTTAGGCATGTTGCTCCGCAGGCCTTTGACTACCTGGTTCTGCGCCGCCAGGAAATCCACATAAATCAATTTTAAAACATAAAAAAAAAAAAAAACCCAGCCAGGAGATGGTGGTGTATGCCTTTAATCCCAGCACTCAGAAGGCAGAGGCAGGAGTTTGTGAGTTTGAGGCCAGCCTGGTCTACAGAGCAAGTGCCAGGACAGGCTCCAAAGCCACAGAGAAATCCTGTCTCAAAAAACAATAAATAAATAAACAAACAAACAAATAAATAAATAAATATTCCTAGCTGGGCAGTGGTGGCACTCACCTTTAATCCCAGCACTCAGGAGGGAGAGGCAGGAAGATCTCTCTGAGTTTTGAGGCCAGCCTGGTCTACAAAGCTAGTTCCAGGACAGCCTCCAAAGCCACAGAGAAATCCTGTCTCGAAAAACAGAAACAAAACAAAACAAAAAGATCCTATCTGGGACCATTGAGATGGCTCAGGAGATAAGGGTACCCTCTGCCACACCTGACATCCATTTGATCCCCAGAACCCAGTGGGGTGGTGGAAACCAACTCTCAAAAGTTGTCCTCTGATCTCATAGCCTGTGTGTGTGTGTGTGTGTGTGTGTGTGTGTGTGTGTGTGTGAGTGTGCAAATCCCAGTGCTAACCCTGAGTGCTAACCCCAAGTGCTAACTGGGCTTCAGAACAAGTCAAGAACAGGGGCTTTGTTTGTCCTTGCTTCAAAGCCTGGTGTCCCTCCACTTGATAGCCTTGTAACCCCAGGCAGCCTGACTTTGGCTCCTCCATGAAAACAGAATCACCAACCAGATAGCACTAGAGTAGATCCAGCATCTGTGGAGTGCTCCCTGAGTGCTCCCAGCAGGGCCCCGCACAGAGCTCACCCACCCGCTCTTTTCTACTCAAGCTTCACATGCTGAGCAGAAGGAAAACAAGATGCGACTGGGATTTCACTCAACAATGTGTCTTTATTGAAGCATTTGTAAGAAAAAAGGATGGACCCTCCGTAAAAAGAGGAGATGTTGCCTCCAAACAGCAGGGAGGAATGAGACCTGGGTGGCTTCCCAGAAGCCAGTGCTTCCGGCATGACTGGCTTCCGTGGCCTGGCAAGACTACAGTGTGTCACTACAGCCAACAATTCTTACCCGCCCCTTCCCAGCGTTCTCCCTCCCGTCCATAACCCAAGACTTCCTACAGCCATTTGCCAATAGTTTCGTGAAGATTCAGGAGTAGGTGTGTCAGGGTTGTCTCTTAATGGGGTCAAAGTGGCTTTTGCTTTGGAAAATTCACAGGAATGTAAAATGTTTGAACTTTTTTAGTCCAACCAGGGCAAGTACCTCCTGCCCCTCTGAGGGGAAATAGAGCAGAGAATCCCCCTCTGAAGTGCACACTCGTAGGGCAAGCAAAGTACCCGTCTGCTCTTTATTAGCATGAAGAATGGAAATAAGGTTAGAAGAATATATAACATCGGCTGAAAAGTCACTGAGTTCCAGGGGCAGAGGGAGCAGCCACCTTTCTCACCCCAGCAGGTGCTGCTCCTGGCTGCCCCAAGTCCTAGAGCTGCTTATTCTTCTCCAGCTGGAAGATTGTCTTCAATCCGCCTGAGGAACCTCATCCTGATCTCTGTCACACCATCTCCCTTCAGAGTGTCCTGGACAAACTTGGCTTCCACAGCCATCTGGACCTGAGGAACAGAAAGGGTGCAAGTCTAACCACAGCCTCTGGGGAACCCCTGAGGGTGAGGCTAGATCAGAAATGCCCATGGCCTGGGGTGTATGTGTGTGTGTGAGTATATGACTAAAATTCACTAGATAAACTATATAAATGTATAAAACTTCCAAACTTTTGTTTTGTTTTGTTTTGTTTTTTTTGTTTTGAGACAGGGTTTCTCTGTGTAGCCATGGCTGTCTTGGAATTCTCTCTATAGACCACACTGTCTCGAACTCACAGAGATCCTCCTGTCTCTGCCTTCCAAATGCTGAAATTAAAGGTATGTGTCACCACCACCTGGCTCCAAACAATTTATTTGAAGGGACTGATTTCCACAGGGATAGGGTTGCCAGCCCCAATATTCTAACATCAAAGACAGTGACCTCAAACTGGATGTGGAGTCATTTACCTGTAGTCCCAGAACTTGAGAGGAAGCGGCTGGAGGCAAATTCGAAGATAGCCTGGTCTACATAATGAGCAAATTGAGTCCTAAGCTAATTAGGGCTAGACTGAGGCTGTCTAAAGAAAGAAAAAGAGGAGGAGGAAAAGGAGGAAGAGGAGGAGGAGGAGAAGAAAGAAAGAAAGAAAGAAAGAAAGAAAGAAAGAAAGAAAGAAAGAAAGAAAGAAAGAAAGAAAGAAAGAAAAAGAAACAACAAAGACCTCAGTGCACTTAACTGTGGCCCAGGGAACCCATCTGGGAAGGGGCTGCCCTCCACCGCTGACAGCAGCACTCTCTCAGCACAGCACTGGGAAGGAAGGTGTCTGCCTTGGCCCCTGTATCAGCAGCACTATCCCCTCGGACAGCAAGGGGCTTGGCAAAGCCCTTTCTCTCCCATTCAGACAGCATTCACCAAATAGCACCAAGCTGGGAGAGGGCAGCACTCACCATCTCCAAGGCTCCCCGCAGCACCCCACACAGGAGGTTGGAGTAAATAAGGGATGAGTGGCTATCGGGAAGCTCCACAAAGTCCACCAACGGGTTATTTTCCAAGATGAGGGAGAATTCATCGCCAGCTGGGCTCCAATTCGTGATGCTTGGAGTGATGCCTAAGTACATCTTGAATGCCACCTGTCAGGGAACACACAACAGCACTCTAGGGAAGAGTGACAGAACTACACAGCTGGAAGGTGTTAGCGCAAAGTCACTTAGGACAAAACCGTGGCCTCCAAATCTTTAGAGATCTAGAGAGAGAGAAGTGCCCTCGCAGGACTCCATCTCTCTCTTTCAGGCATCACACAAAGCACTCTAACTCACAATCTGCCTGCCCATCTCACGGAAGGGCAGCTGCCTTCAACTGAAATCCAAATGAGGACTTAAGCACGAGTCACATCTGGCCCAAAATGCATACTCTCAAACTTCCTCAATATTCTACTACACTTTTGTTTTGTTGTTGTTTGTTTTGTTTTTCTGAGACAGGGTTTCTCAGTGGTTACAAAGCCAGTCCTGGAACTCACTCCACAGACCAGGCTGGCATGGAACTCAGAGATCCACCTGCCCCTGCCTCCCGTGTACTGGGATTAAAAGCGAGCGCCACCACTGCCCAGGTGTGCTACACTTTCAAAATGAAGGAATTTGGGCTTTAATTTCAGTGAGAGAGACCTGCTGGCTTTGTCTGTTTGTAGGTAGCATCTTGCTATGTAGCCATGGCTGATCTAGAATTCAGTGTGTAGGCCAGATGGTCACAAACTTGCTGTGACTCTGCTGTGTCTGCCTCCTAAGTGCTGGTATCACAGGCATACACCACTACATTCAGCTACAGCAAGGCTGTGATGCACAAGGAAGACCCAACCACTCTCTCCTCCTTCATAATCTGTTACTTCCAAAGCACCAGGAAGGCCTCCTTGATCCAAACAGCTGCCTAATCAGTCTTTTGGGAAATTAAGGGAGACAGTGAGAGTGGTAGGTAGCGCCTCCCAATGGCAAGCTTCAGTGGGGCCAGATGGCCCAGGTAAATGACCTTAGCAATGACATCCGCAGTTTCCCGAAAATCATGACATCTTCCAACATTTGAACGTGCCAAAAAATCTTCAATTAGTCGGACTCCAATGTTATAGCCCCTTGGAAGGAAATCAGAGAACAGACCATTAAGGGGTCAAAATGTCTTTTATATAGACAAAATGTCTTATATCTAAACACGAGACTGTTGTCAGCTAAGGGAGAGAATGGGGATAACACGCTAACACCCTCATAAATGAGCTCAGTGGAAACGGTACCCAAAGGCTGGCTTCCCAGGACAGCAGCACTCGGTGTGCTGGGAGCCTGCTGCTGCCTCTTGTGAGGGAGGCACTCACTCACATTCTGTCCAGCTGCTTATTCACGTCTTCATCGTTTTCATAGTCCTTGCACAGCTGGGTGACAAGCGCTCCATACGTCAGCGTAAATAGCTCAGAACTCTGCAAGAGATCCAGATGACCATCAGGACCCGGCAGCACAAACCCAGGTTTGTGCTGTGTGTTGGCAGGTGTAGCCAATGGCTTCCTCATACCTTAGAGCAATTGTTCTCAACCATCAGAAAAAACAGATGTTTACATTCCAATTCATAACAGTAGCAAAATTACAGCTATGAAGTAGCATTGAAAACAATTTTAATGGTTGGGGGTCACCACCACATGAGGAACTGTACTAAAGGGTTGAAGCATTCAGAAAGTTGAGAACCACTGCCTTAGAGGGTTCTGACATGGGATTAAGCTGTACTCCCAAAGCTTGGGTTCTCTGCTATTCATGGGAAGAGCTAGCATCTGAGGGACAGACTGGGCTGGCAGAGAAGGAAGTCCTAGAGAGCCCATTACCCTAAAGACAACCTCTCCTCAAAGTCACCAACATGAGGGGGGAAAATTAATGACTCTTTTGACACATTGCTAAAATATTTCTAAAAACTATGTAAATCTAAAAAGAATATAATATTGGAGTGGGGGATAGGTCATCAGTTAAGGGGTCTTATCGGTTTCCCAGAGCACCAGGGTTTGGTTTCTAGGGCCCACATCTGGCGGCTTACAACTGCATGTAATTCCATTTCCAGTAGGTCCAACAACCTCCAGCCTCAGCAGGCACCTTCATGCACATGGTGCAAACAGACTCATGCAGGCACACACACATACACAAGATAATAGTAAGTGATCTTTAAAAATAAAATAGTAGCTGGGTGGTGTTCATGCATGCCTTTAATGAGTTCAAGACCAACCTGGTCTACAGAGTAAGATCCAGGACATCCAGAGCTGTTACACAGATAAACCATCTTTAAAAACCAAATCAATCAATCAACCAAAATAATAAAGACAGGCAGTGGTGGCACAAGCCTTTAATCCCAGCACTCGGGAGACAGAGGCAGGCGGATCTCTGAATTTTAAGGCCAGCCTGGTCTACAGAGAGAGTTCCAGGACAGCCAGGGCTATGCAAAGATACCTGTCTTGAAATAAATAATAAAATAACAAAAATTAAAAATTTTTTTACATTGTGTGTGTGTGCGTGCATATGTATGTGTGTATGCTCATGCGTGCCAGGTCAGAAGACAACCTTTGAAATAAGTTCTTTCCTTCTATTATGTGGGCTTCAGAGATCAAACTCAAGCTGTCAGACTTGGCAGCAAACACCATTACCCCCTGAGCCATCTCGGTGGCCCAAGAATACACATTCTGTATACGTGGGACACAAGACTGATCCAAACTGGTTTCTATTACTGTGCTGGTTAGTCTTTTGTCGCCTTTGTTATCTGGGAAGAGGGACCCTCAACTGAGAAAATGTCTGCATCAGATTGCTAGTAGGTAAGCCTGTTTTCTTTTCTTTTTTTTTTTTTTTTGGGGGGGGGGGGTCAAGACAGGGTTTCTCTGTGGCTTTGGAGGCTGTCCTGGAACTAGTTCTTGTAGACGAGGCTGGTCTCAAACACAGAGATCCACCTGCCTCTGCTACCCGAGTGTTGGGATTAAAGGCTTGTGCCACCACTTCCCAGTGGACATTTTCTTATTATTTTAAAAATATTTATAGTATGGATGACTGCCTGCATGTAAGTATGTGATATCATGTGTACGCCTGGTGACCATGGAGGTTAGAAGAGGGCAAATACTAACTCCTGGAATTAAAGTTAGGGATGGTTGTGAACCACCATATGGGAGCTGAGAATTGACCCCCCTCTTAACCACTGAGCCACCTCTCCAGCCCTTTGATTAATGATTGATGTGGGAAGGCCTACTGTCAGTGGTGTCACCAGCCAGGTGGTCCTAGGTTGTATAAAAAGAGCAAGCCAGCAAACAGCATTCCTCCTTGGTCTGTGCTTCAGTTTCTGCCCCAACTTCCCTCTCAAGGTCAGACTGTGACTGGATCACCCAAGCCAAACAAACCATTTCCTCCCTAAGATGCTTCTATTCGTGGTCTATCACATCAGCAGAAAGCAAACTAGGACAGAAACTGGTTCCACAAGTGGGGCACTACTGTGACAGACCTGCCACGTTAAAAATCACAGGTTTCTAAGATAGAGAATCTTGCTGGAGAGCTAATTCGGTAGTTAAGAACATGTACTGCTTTTGCAGAGAACCTGAGTTTAGTCCCAAGCACTCACATCAGAAGACTCACAACCACCTGTAACTCTGGGCTCCAGGGAATCCAAGACCTCTGGCCTTCTTGGGCGCCTACACTCAAATGCACATACCCATCAAGGTAGGACACACATACACATAATTAAAAAGAAAGCAAGAAAGAACCCTGCTAGGAATGGGGAGCTTAGTTCAGTCCATAGAATACTTGTCTATAAGCACTGAGTTGATCTTCAGCAACACATGCACATACATTAAAAACAGAAAAACAGGGCCAGCAAGATGGCCCAGAGTGTAAACACCTTTGCCAATGAGCCTGATGAACTGAATTTGATATCTTAGCTCCACAAGCTGCAGAGAGAGAACAAATCCTACAAATTGTCATCTGACCCCTGCAACAGGCACCATGGCACATGCCTGTGCATGTACATACATAAATAGATAAATGCAAAAAACATTTTGAAAATTCAAAGTCACGTATGATTTCAATGTGAGTTCTACCTAGGTTGGCCCATGGGTTTCGGTTCCCAGTACACACACACACACACACACACACACACACACACAGACACACACAGAGAGAGTAATGCAAATACTAAGACCCCAGAATAAAAACACCAAGACTGCTGGCAGTAGAAAAGGCACTATTGGAGTTACAATGAAAAACGTGTTTGTGTTTGTGGTGCTGAGGATCAAACCCAGGGCACTGGGCACACCAAGCAAGCACTCCACCACTGAGGTACATCCCCAACCCTGAGAAACATATTAACAGCACATTTAGTCCAAAGGAATTCCTCGGAAATAAGGCTGAACACCAACAACAAAAATCAATTGTTCGATCAAGATTGCCACCCTGCCACTCCCTTCTGAAGAGAGGCTTTTTAGGTCAGGCATGGAGGAAGTCACTCTGTGACTTCAAGACTTCTGAGCGAAGAACCCCAACTATCAGCCACCACACCTGTCCAGAACAGACTACTTTTCATTATCTCATAAAAACTCAGTAAAGCAGAAAGCACAGTAATCAATCCGGAAGAGACACCAAGACCAGAACGAGGGATGATCAGACCAAGGTTAAACAGCTAAGAACTGAAAAAAGAATGGGGGGGCAAAACCCAAATGTGTCCCAGGCAGTGTTCACTGTATCCACTCTATCCATGACTGCAATATTAATAAGCCCCCTCAATTAAAACAAATCTTAGATGCAGTAGACTCCAAGAAAATCAATTTTGGGAGCAGGAGGCTCTCTGAACTCAACTAAAACAGTCAGATGAGGGCACCTCCAGGAGACCATTTGCCAAATATGGCAACTGAAAGGAAGCTATTAAGGAGGAATGATTTTTTAGTAAAGTCAAGGGTTTGGCACTAGAATGGCCTGAGCATGAATGGATGGAGGCAATCCAGAAGTTACCAGTCCGGAGAGTTGGCACGAGTACATTCAATCAGGAGAGCTTTCCTTCCATTATTAATGAGCCCTTGGATGGACTCCAAGAGCCTCCGCCCACCAGGACTGCCAAATTATATGCAAATCACAATGTTGGGAAGCTCCTTACACATGTAGCTCCCCAGTTCACCAGTAAGAAAAGGCAGGTCCTGGACAGTTGTGAGCACTGCTGTGCTGGAATCTCAGAACGGGGTTCCTGACTCAGGTTCTCCACATCTATTCATATGCAACCTAGCCCATTTAGAACAACACGAGCAACATGAATGTATAACATAAAGGTCTTCATGTGTCTAAAACAGAAGTGGTGCAGGGCTGGATTGATGGCTCAGTGGTTAAGAGCACTGGCTGGAGCTCCTGGAGTACAATCGAAGTGAGGGAGGAGCAATAATATGAACAAAGGAGTCAAGACCACGATGGGAAACCCACAGAATCAGCTGATGATGGAGAGATCACTGACTCCAGTCTGACAAATGGGCTCCTGCATAATATGATCGAACTATTCTCCCTTAATATAGGTGACAATGGTGTGGCTGGGGCAATATATGAGGCCACTGGCAGTGGGTCCAAGATCTAACTCTAATGCACAAACTGACTTAGTGGAGCCCATTTTATATGGAGAGACACCTTGCTCAGCCTAGACATAGGGGTGTGGGGGGTGCCTTGGTCCTGCCTCAATGAGATGATGGGGCAGACTTAGTAAACTTCCTAGGGGAAGCCTTACCCTCTCAGAGGAGCAGATGGGAGATGGGGAGTGGGGGGTGGGGGAGCAGGAGGAGAGAAGGAACTGGGATTGGAATGTAAAAAATAAATTAATAAAGCCAGGCGTTGGTGGTACATGCCTTTAATCCCAGCACTCGGGAGGCAGAGGCAGGTGAATCTGTGAGTTCAAGGACAGCCTGACCTTATCTATAAGAGCAGGACAGGCTCCAAAGCTACACAGAGGAAACCCTGTCTCGAAAAAGCAAAAAAAAAAAATAAATAAATAAAAAAAAAACCAAAAAACAAAGAAACCAATAACAACAGCAAACAAACAAACAAACAAACAAACAAACCAGCACTGACTGTTCTTCCAGAGACCCTGGGTTCAATTCCCACATGGAGGCTTGGAGCTTCACAACTGTCTACAGCTCCAGTCCTAGGGGATCCAATGCCTCCTCAAGCACCAGTCACACACGTGGTATGCAGACATCCATGCTGGCAAGACACACACATAAAATGCAATAAAATAAAATAAAAGTGGGACTGTGACATGGTTAAAAACAAAGGAACATCAGAGAAGGCTCACTAAGGCGATATTTGTGCAAAGACCTGACTGTACATAAAGACTGATAACCCTACTAAGATGGCCAGCTGACAATGTCACTTGCATACTGTCAAGACGGGGTTTCTCTGTGTAACAGCTCTGGCTGTCCTGGGACTTGCTCTGTAGACCAGGGTAGCCTCAAACTCATGAAGATCCACCTACCTCTGCCTCTTGAGTGCTGGGATTAGTGCATCACCACCGCCCAGTCCAGATGGACTGTTTCTGTTAGCAGGGACTAAAAGAAGTAGACATCAGATTACCTGGGTCGCTGAAGGTTTATGTGGAATGTAGTAATTATGTCCCCAAACAGTGAAAGAGGGGCCTATCAATACTATGGCTCAGTAAGCAGAGACACCTGCTGCAAGCTGTCATCTGACCTCCATACAAATACTGTGGCACATCCCCCTGTACTGGCTAATTTTATATCAACCTGACGTAAGCTTGAGTTATCTGAAAGAAGAGCAGAGGGCCCAGCCTATTGTAGATGGTGCCATTCCTGGGCTGGTGGTCCTAGGTTCTCTAAGCAAGCAGGCTGAGCAAGCCACGATGAGCAAGCAGGTAAGCAGCTTCCCTCCATGGCCTCTGCATCAGCTCCTGCCTCCAGGTTCCTGCCCAGCTTGAGTTCCTGCCCTCACTGCTTTTGATAATGAACAGTGAGTGGAATAAACCATTTCCTCCCCAAGTTGCTTTTGGTTATGGTGTTTCATCACAGCAATAACCTAAGACATCCCCTAAAAAATAAGTCAACCTTTGTAAAAAAAAAAAAAAAAAAAAAAAAAGAATAGCTAGGTATGGTGGCACATGCCTGGGACCTCAGCACCAGGGAAATTGAGACAGGAGAAATAGGAGTTGGAAGCAAGCCTGGGATACACAGGAAAACCTTGTCTCAAGTGCACACACGAGTGGTGGTGCACACCTTTAATCCCAGCACTCGAGAGGCAGTCAGATCTCTGTGGGTTCCAGGCCACAGAGGGAGTTCATGACCAGCCAAGGCTATGTAGAGAGGCCCTGGTTCAAACAAATAAAGCAGAAACAAATAACATCAATACTTATTCCAGGAGAAAAGAAGATACAGAGACTAAGGAATAAATATCTCTGTTCCTAATTACCAAAGAAACACCATGCCTTAAATTTAACACTATCTCATCTCATCCCTGCTTCATAGCTAAGGAAACTAATGACCCACTGAGAATGCCAAGGAACACATATGCATTTACATCAACATGACATTGTGTTCTCTAGCACAACATTCTCTCAACTATTGTTACTTCTTCCAGGAATTTCGTGTGTGTGTGTGTGTGTGTGTGTGTGTGTGTGTGTGTGTGTGTGTGTGTGTGTGTGTGTGTGTGTGTGTGTGTGTAATGCTTAGCTACATCCTCAGTTCCCTGAAAGCAATTCTTAACTTGTAATCCATAGAGTATATTAAGAGGCCCACAAATCCCTGGAAAATGCAAACAAATGTATGCTATACATATGATGTAAGTTTTTGGCATTGTGTGTTGCAGTGCTAGGGGTCAAACCCAGCTTCAGTCACTGAGTATGTGTTTGTGTATTTAATATTTGTGTGGAGATGATGCACTGCTATCATCAGTTTCTCAAAAGCGGTCTGAGAGAGAAAAGGTAAAAGAACTGGCCTGTAATAGCAGCGCTTCCATCCATTTGTGGTGGCTGTTCTTGTATAAAATGCGAAGGTGTGAGGGGAATCTAATCATCCTATCTACAGTGGAATACCAACACAGGTCCCCTGATTTGTGGCAGCACTCAACCTTAGACTGTCCGGCTGGTTTCTGAAGACTTTACTCAAGAGTATCCTGCATATGCACAGTGCCACTAAGCTACACCCACAACCTGATGCTCTACCCCTGTGACCCTCCCTCTCCTGACCACTCTGTATGTCTGTGTTAAAAAAGATTTCAAGTAGCCTAGGCTGGCCTCCATCTTATTATGGGCTGAAGATGAACCTGAATTCCTGATTCTTTTGCCTCTACCATCCCAGTGCTGGGATTACCAGCATTTGTGACTGAGCCCAGTTTATGTGGTGCTGGGAATTAAACCCAGGGCCCTGTACATGTTAGGCAGACACTCTATCAACTTGAGCTACAAACCCAACCCCAGATGCTCAGTTTTAAATTCCAAAACAAAAGCATGGCATGAGCAGCATTGCAAAATAAAACTAAAGAAGCCATCGTTGGTGGCTCGCACCTTTAATCCCAGCACTCAGGAGGCAGAGGCAGGCAGATCTCTGTGAGTTTGAGGCTAGCCTGGTCTACAGAGTGAGTTCTAGGACAGACAAAGCTACACAAAGAAACCCTGTCTCGAAAGAAAAAAAAAAAAAAAAAAAAAAAAAAAAAAGACAACAATAGAAACACCTGCCAGGAAAGCCTCCTATCTTGGAGAAAACTGGTATCTACTTTACTCTCCAGATCCAGCCCAGCTTTAGGGGGGTTATATTCTGTCCCACTACTTCCAGGATGGGAAAGGAACCACAGCAATCCTCCCTTATCCTCTCAGCAATTAGAGGGGCCACTGAGTACTCAGGCTGGCTCACCCCTTACTGTGTGGATGGAAAGTTCCCTTCTGACATGACCACCATCTAAACTGGTCTCCCAACACCCAAAGCACAGTGAGAGGCTGTGTACTCGGTCTGAAATATTCGCTCTGGAAGTGGAGAGGCATGGGTTCAAATCCTAACTCTTCCTAGGTGTAAAATTGGGTATCACATAACCTTCTCGGGCTGTAAAAGGCCATAACATTACTCACCTAGTAGGGTTTCCTTGTAATGTCATAATGTAAGTAATGCCCTAGTGCCAAACTCACAGTAAGAGATCATCAGTAAGTGGTTGTTACTGTTACTGATTCCGTCGCTGTTGTTGGTCTAGTACAGAGTTGCACTCGACCTCGAGACCCCGGCGTAGCGAGCGGGGGAGGAAACTCAGGGGTCCTCCAACCTGCCCCAGCGCTGGACGCTTAGGAACGGCCCTATCATGGGACATCCCCACCCCACAGCTCACAGCCGGACCCTCTGACAATCACTTGGGGAGCCAGCAGCAGGCCCTTTCCCAGGAAGCTTCAATTCCGCCCGGGCCGCCGGGTCACGCGCTCAGAGTTACCATTTTCTTGCTCTCGGTGCCACGGTTCGCCTGCCTCGACATGGTGCCCACCGAGCAACGCCGCCTCGCCTCACCTCGTCGCAGCCTAGGTCCCAGGCCCCTGGAGACACCGATTCAACCCAGCCGCGGCCCCTCCGCATCTGGGATTGACCGGCTCCACCTCACCACGCCTGCGCCGTCTGACGCGGAGCACCATGGGACTTGTGGTTCGGCCGACCAAAATCAGACTACAGCACCCGACAGCCCCACCGGAAGTCCCGCCCTTTGCTCAGCGTGCGATGCAGCTTCGAGTGCCGGCCTGGCTGCGCCATTCTGGCCACTAGGTGGCATCCGCACCTTGTGATAGTCCTACATTGTCCACCGAGTGTCCTTATTTCCCTCCCCCACGACTGGCTCTGAGAGGCTCTGCAAATTCCTCTCCCGGATTGGTCTTGGAAAGTCCCTGTTTTGAACTGGCGTCTTGTGTTGCTGCAGTTCAGCTCCAGAAGCTCCCAGGACGTCCTGGAAAACTAGCAATGGCTCACACAGAGATCTAAATTCGTTATAAAAAGTTTGGAGTGTTTATCTAGCATGCTTGAGGTCCGGTGTTTGATCCCCATTTCTTGCTCCAGAAAGCTCTGGGATAGTCATTTATTTCTGTGAGTTTGAGGCCAGCCTGGTCTACAGAGTTAGTTCCAGGATAGCCAGGTCTGTTACAGAGCTGTTACACAGAAAAACCCTGTCTGGAATAAAACAAACAAACAAACAAACAGGAAAAAAAGTTTGAATGACCACATACTCTGTGTCAGGCTAGTTAATGGCTTTCTCTTCAAACTGCCATCTGTTCCCAAACCCCAAACACAGCCAGACCTGAATCAAACCAACTGTGGCCTAATGATCCAATCTTTAAAATAAATTCCAAGCCACTCGTTACTTTCTCACCCTCCCTTCTCTAAAACAGCTACCCTGCTTAGTTCCCAGAAAGCAGAGATGCCAGCTGTGGTGGCAGAGAGTGCCGAGTTCTAATCCCAGGCTTGCTGTCTGAGGCCATGTGCTGTAGTTCGAGTTGCTACAAAGATTGATGAGATCTGAGTACAGAAACTAGGCACAGAAAAGGCACAGAGTAAATGGGATTCCCTTCTAGCTATGCTATCAAAACATAGCCTAACAAATCAAAACACAGCCCAACTAACATTGAGGAATGCGCTTGCTGACCAAACCCTCCTCCCCCATTACCGGGGCACAGTCCTATAGTCACTGACCACAGCCCTTTGGGTTTGGCTCCAGCCAACTCTCCTTAGTGGTCAACCCTGAGGGTACAATGTTGGAGATTAAGGCCATCTCACTTGCTGACTCCACAGCATCTATATACTGTGGTGCTCCCCACCACCCGGCCTTCACCATGACAACTGGTCTGTCCAGATACTGAGCTAGCCAGGCTGGGAGAAGGCTGGAGGGGCCCAGGGTTCTTCCAGTCTCTCCCTGAAGACATAGGACCCATCGTTATTATACCCTTTTCCCTGTGGCACAGACATTCTGGGCCCTCCCTAGAGGCAGAAATCCCTGGACTCTCCATCACATGTCATGACCTCAGGGCTAAAACGTGAGGGTCTAGGACGTGAGGGTCTGTGAAGGGGGCAGAGGACAGCAGGGGTCTGCAGCCTTGGGAGACCAGTGCAACTAACTAGACAAGACCCTTCTACATTCCCAGAAGAGAGGACAGCTGAGGTGAAGACTGCAGTTGGCCAGCCTGTCTGTCGGTCTGGGCTCCTCCCAGCAGGCTGCCTTGGCTGCCCACAGAAACCTGAGTCACAGTCAGGGCCAGCCGCCTGACCCCACCCAGCCTGCTGTCAGGCAGGGCGGTTCTGGACAGACTGGAGGCGGAGCCTCTCCCGGCCTGTCTCCCAGCTTTCGGATTATTCATCACTTTGCCCGTGATTCCTGCACTTGGCACTGCTTTCTCTTCTCCACTCTTGGGACTCATCTCCTCAGAGTCATCAGTTTTGAATTAAGGGTGGGGGTGGGGCCTGTGTATTGATCTATCAGGTCTCATCCTTGCTCAGAGTGAAACCTAAAAACTCCTTGGAGAGGGGGTACAGCTGGCTCAGGAGTCAAGTGCATGCTTTGTATGGGCAAGGACCTGGGTTTCATCTCCGTAACAAACCAAACCAAACCAACTCCCTACACAGCAGGTCCCAAGTTCTCAGGACTGTTTCCTTTATTTTGAACTCCAACCCTTTCCCACCACCTCTCGGGAGAAGGACATTTAGGAAACCAGATATCCCTTCCCCACCCTCAACCCCTGTTCTCTAGAAAAGGCAGCAAGAACATAAGAAACTCAAGGTCAGCTTTAGCTACACAGGGTGTCCAAGGCCTACCTGGGCTACAAGAGACCCTGTCTCAAAAAGAAGGAGGAGGAAAGAAAAGAGAAAAGAGGAGAAGTCTCCAGGGGCCGATTTCTCATCCCTAGTAGGAACTTTGAACAAAGACTTCCTCCAAGGCATCCAAAAGCTTGACCTCTGTAGTACTGAATTTTAGTTCCTCCAGTCCAAACCTCTGCCCTTCCTCCTACTCTAGGGCTGGAGGGAGAGAGGCAGCTGGTCACCACTACCCTGAAGGACATTTCCCAGTCCCAGTCTCAAGCAGCGGGCCCTGGAGGCTAAGGTTCTTTTGGAAAGGCAGTTACAGCCCCTCCTCTTCTTTGTGCTGTGAGGTGGGGGGTGGAGTGGGAATGAGAATCGGGTAGTTGTTCTTTCCGCTGCCCCCCAAAAGGCTCCTCCCACTTCCTATTTTGTGGGGGTGGAGGCAACGTCCCAGGCCTCTGTCCTGAGGTTTCTGAGTCAAATCTCCCAGCTATTTTCTTCAGTGTTCGGTGGGTGCATCCTGGGCTCTGCCCTGTCAAACCTAGGAGGTTGGGGACGTTTTTGCTCCAGCCTCCCTCCAAGGATGGACGATCTGCAAGGGGACGTTGTCCTGATCTCCAATCAGACTTACCCCAGCCCAGCCTCATGGAGATACTAATGACTCACTCACTCTTGCCTATTTCCGTGGAGAGGGAGGAGACTGCCCTGGGCAGCAGAGACGACAAAGTCCCTGCCCCTCGCTGAATGGGCAGGATATCCTCTTGGGGCTTCAGTCCCAGATATTACACATACCCCTGCTTGTACCTTCTCTGAGAAGGCGTGTGGAACCCCAAGACACCTTACCCCAAACATAAAGATATCAGCCTTTGTTTGTGAGACTTTATTTAACAGTCCTGATTGTCCTGAACTCACTTTGTAGACCAGGCTGGCCTCGAACTCACAGAGATCCACCTGCCTCTGCCTCATCAATGCTGGGATTAAAGGCACATGCTACCATGGCCAGCAAGCCTTTACTTAACAAATAAGTTAACAAATCTTTATTAATCCTCAGGTGTTGGGCTTGGGATCCTGGTCAGATACAGGGGAAAAAAAGAGAAATGTCTGTTTCACCCACCTACCCCAACTGCATTTTTGGGCAGTGGCACTGCTCTGGCTCAGCTGATGGGTCCATCAGCTGTGCCAGAACCCTCTAGCTGTGGCTGCCAGGAAACCTGCCCCTCCCACTGTCTAGCTCCCAGATACCCTGCTTGTCTGAAGTACCAAAGATTGTGAAGTGGTACAGGAATCATGATCTGAGAGGCAAGGGCTCCTCAACCCTGGTACCCTGAACATTTTATGTCTGCTAATTTTTTGTGGCAAGGACATACTGTGTGTTGTAGGATTTTTAAGCCATATTCTTGTATTCCATTCACTGGATGCCTGTAGCACCCTCAGTTGTAACAACCAAATCATCACTAAACATTGACAAATGTCCTCCAGAGTGTCTGTGCTTGTGCAAAGCTGCCTTTGGTGGAGGACCATTGATGTAGTCTAACACCAGACCCCCGAGCAGCCCAGGTCAGAGAACTCCCCAAAGTCAATCCTAGATAGTTAGGTACAACCGCAGATTTCCAGTTCTCATATCTTCCCCAGCTCAGAATCTCTTGATCTTTAACATCTCCCCAGGATCTATATCTGCAAGTCAGTGGCATTTAGATCCTTCTCTCTAAGTCCAGTACCCTCTCCTTTATTCTGGAACTCTTGCACTCGGGGACTCTTACTACTCCCATCTTTATCTGTATAATAATCTCAGGACCTCAGCTGAGAGGTAGAAAAGCCACCACAGGGGGTAGGCAGGCCCCTTGCTGGGTTCTGCTCCTGATTTATTCAGTATAAACTCTGCAGGGCTCAGGGTGGGCCTGTGTTCAGCTCTGGACAATGCAGCAGACCTTTAGACCTCTGACCTCACAAAGGACAGTCATGGATTCCATCATCCACATGGTCATCTCATATCTCAGATGGCATGACTAACAGCAAATGTGGAGGGCCTTCCTGAGCCTCTTTTACATTTGAATTCCCCTCGTCATCATTACTCCTCAGCACTTCCTAGATGCCAGGCTCGGGGTCCTATTTAATTTTACAATAACCCCCAAAACACCTCATGGCACTATTTTTACAAATTATTTATTTTTGGTGAAGCAAGTCTCATGCATCCCAAGTTGCCCCCTAGCCAGGGCTTTTTATTTATTATAATGCTTTGTTGTTGTTGTTTTGTTTTGTTTTTTGAGACAGGGTTTCTCTGTGTAGCCCTGGCTGTCCTGGAACTCAAAGAGATCAAACTGCCTCTGCCTCTGCCTCTGGAGTGCTGGAATTAAAGGTGTGTGTCACTACTGCCTGCTATTATAAGACTTTTTTTTTTTTTTTTTTTTTTTTTTTTTTTTTTTTTTTTTTGTTTTTTTTTCTTTTTGGTTTTTCGAGACAGGGTTTCTTTGGAGGCTGTTCTGGAACTAGCTCTTGTATACCAGGCTGGTCTCAAACTCACAGAGATCCACCTGCCTCTGCCTCCTGAGTGCTGGAATTAAAGGTGTGCGCCACCACTGCCTGGCAATTATAAGACTTTTTAAAGGGACTTTTCTTTATTATATTCCATACCTTTAAAAATTGGTGGCATGTGTCTTTAATTCTAGCACTAGGGAGAAAGAGGAAAGTGGATCTCTGTGAGTTTGAAGCCAGTCTAGTCTACACTATGTAGCCAGCCAGGGCTACATAATGAGACTCTCTCTCTCTATCTATCTATCTATCTATCTATCTATATATATATATATAATTTTTATTTCCACATATGAGTGTGGA